TAATTCAAATTAAAAAAATTAATAATAAAAAGAAGTTAATATATTTTAATAAGACAACATAGAGTTAATTTTATTTCAATTTGTTAAAAATATTGTATGTATGCAAAGAAAAAAATCTGCAAAGCCGCAGATTTTTTTCTTTGCAATGCGGCCCTCAAACAATCATAGTTTAGACACCCATGCTCTAAAACATTCACCAGAATTTGTTCTTCAGCTTCTAAGGCATTTCTTACAAAAACATAATTTTAAAGTGGCATACCGATTGAAGTCAGACAGACTGCTAAAAATATATGCCAAGTGAAAGATGTACTTACCAATACATGCAAGACAAAAAGGTATATTCATAAATAGAGAAATAAAAATTTAACATCCCTTTTAATGCAGTAGAATATTGAAAAGGCTATCAAATATAATTTATAAATAACGTTATTAATTTTTACCTGTTTCAAAAGAAAAAAAAAATCTTTTAATGCCGTATCTGATTTGCTATAGCAGTTTGATATAGTCAGACGTTCATTTTCATTAACAGTAAATGAGAATACAGAACGAGGAAATAATTGTCATGACAAATTTTGCTGTTTTATGGACTTGGAATTATGGTATTTTTGCACTTGATTTTCTTGACAGTCATCACTGCTCTTTCTACGAACTAGTACTGTTAGTTGCAGTTATCGTATTTTTTCTTTATTTTTAACCAAATTCAGCTGATTGTTGCCTATTTCAGTATGCAGATTTCTCGCTATAATGTTTCAGAAATAAGTATTTTTCAGCAAAACATTCTTTCCCTAATCCAGCGTTCATGGCTACTTTTGTCGCCATTAATTTTTGGTGACAACACCTGATTGCTTCCTTTTCTGCCACGTGACCCCAACGCTTCCGCAGACGTACGGATAGAAGTTGAACATCGCTGAACTTCATCCGTCCGTCACCGGTCCGTCACCGGATTGCAGATGGTCAATCTTCGCTTGCTGATTGGAGAAATGCATACGCACTACATCGGCAACGCAGTAATGGAAACGGGCCTTAAGAATATTAATCTATTTACCATTAGATATTTCTGAAAAAGAAAACTGTTAACCCCTTGCCATACAGTAACTAGCATTAACGCGTAGTCGCAATTTTGGGCTAAACATGAATACAGGGGTCGGATTCGTGGTCACAGTATCAGGTCAAACTTAAAACATTACGAGTCGGCATGGTATCAGTTTGGGCCAAATATGAATACCGCAGTCCAGACTCATGATTCCCATAATGGAACTTAGACATTTTTGTGGTGAGACAGTGGCTAAAATTTTAATAAACTCGGCAAAAGTAAAGGCAAGGAGAGAAATCACAATTGTCGTTGAGTTTTCAGCATAAAGGTTTACAAGTTAATCACGATTCCTATAATCTGTCTTACAAAATAAAAGCTTCCAACACGTAGCCGGTTTTGCACTTCCTTTATCGTAAAAGCGTCCAATGTTTTGGAAATTCTGAGCTTCATAGCCTTACAAAAATATACCAAGGGCGTGACATGTACATTTTACATTTACTATTAACCACAGTATCACCTATGTAACTATTACGCCTGATAAAATTACACTTGCTTTTTAGCCCAAAACAAGATTTTTATGAAAAAATTTTGCACACGATATTTTTAATGCAAACATTAAATATGTGTTTTAAATACTGCAGGATTTATATCTAATCTAATAGACGTGGCGGCAATTGCGAAGAGTATATTCAAAATTTGTGTCTGAATTTTATTCTTATTTTATATTCTGAATGCTCCATAAAGGATAAAAGTTGCTCACAAATATAAATGCTCTCAACAAGAGATATCATGAATATATCATTTCCTCAAAGTACTAAACCTTTTACTTAGATAAGTACAATTTATAGAAGTTCTATTAAATAAACTTATGCTGCATAAAGATTTCAACTTTATATATTTCATTTGCCAATTCTCATGTAAGCCTGATGTCCACTGGGAATGCAGCAGCAAGTATTCTGAAACGTAAATGTTATTTTAAGAAACTGAAATTTATTCTAAAAAAATCTTCAAATAATGATGGATGCAGCATACTTTCTGCTCTTTACATGAGGCAAAACTCAGAATGAAGTGGATTAGTGCTCTTAACGCATTTGCCCCTGTCTGACACGGGCGAAAGTTACCGACAAATTTGCACATGCCCGTGTTTCAGACGGCCGCTCTTGTATTTCGCGTCATTTTATTTTTAATGCCCGTCTGAGATCCGCTCCAGTAAAAATAGATAGGCTACATTATAATTAAACTTAACATAGATGGCACCACTATGCAGCATTTTCCTTGTGTAAACCAAGCGGTTATAAGTTTGCTAGAAATTCTTTATTATAAAGCAGTTGTTTGGTGTGGAAAAGGTAATATATCCATTTTTATTACGTAAAATATAAAAATAACAGTTAACCACAAATTAACTTTTACTAAGCGTTTTTGTAATTGTTTGGAAAAAGTTATCTGATAATGAGCGGCTCTGACGATGATGAATTTTGAATATGCCAACTTTATCAGACAGTTTCAGCGATGAAAGTGATGATTTCTTGAATAATGGAAGTGAATCGGAAGATAATGACAACGAGATTTTGGATATAGCAAGAAAGAAACTGGTATCAAAATTAGTACAAATCAACCAAACGTTGCACCACCGATATTTCGATTTGAAGCAAACCCTGGCTGTTCTTTTACTTTGACAGACTGCTATGATGTTTTGTCACACTTTGAATTATTTTTTGATAACTATTTCATGGACATAATTCTAACTGAAACAAATAGATATGCATTTCAACATCCAGGATCATCACAGAACCAATGGTCACCGATTACCATGGAAGAATTATATATTTTTTAAGCCATATTTATACTACAAGGTATAATTAGAAAGCCTGAAATAAGGATGTATTGGTCAAAAGTTGAAATTTTTCAATCACCTATTTTGCTCGAGCTCCTTAGTTTTCGTTGTTATTCTGAGATAAAAAGATATCTTCACTTGTCTAACAATGAAACTTACGATGCTGAGATTCACCCCCATCCCAAGCTCAATAAGATATGGCCTGTATTTGGCCATATAAATAAAAAGTGTTCTTCTCTATATACACCGGAAAGAGATATCACAATAGACGAAAGTCTAATACTGTATAAAGGGCGAATAAAATGGAAGCAATATATACCACTTAAACGATCTCGTTTCGGAATAAAGATGTACCTTCTTTGCGAATCAAAAACAGGTTACTTATATTCATCCATTATATATATGGAAAAGGAACGAATATGAGCGATGCATATCGAGAAATGCCGGTATCAGCTCAGGTGGTGGTGTCACTGGTTGAACCATTATTAGATAAAGGGGGTACTTTTTGACGATTGACAACTTTTATACTTCTCCTTAATTAGCGGATTTCCTAGTAAAACGCCAAACAGATACCTACGGTACTCTGAAAAGTATCAGAAAAGAAGTTCCATCTGAAATTAGAAATAAAAAATTGAAAAAGGGTGATCTTATAGCGTTTCAAAGAGGGAAAGTAATGGTGATGAAGTGGAAGGACAAAAAATATGTCTGTATGCTTTCAACAATCCATAACACACAGCAGGAAAATACAAGTAAAACAGCCAATGACAGTACTCAAATAAAGAAGCCGAAAGCTGTAATTGATAACAATGGGAGGCGTTGATCGGCTTCTCCACGATTACCCAACAAGAAAACAAAGAAAAATGTACTATAAGAAAATAGTTTTCCATCTTGTGGATATATCCGTATGGAATTCATTTGTACTATTAAAAAAATAATAATAATAATAATAATAAAAGGGGGGGAGGAAAACGGGACCATTTGGAATTCCGTAAAATGCTTGTGGAAAAATTAATTGAAAAATACCATTCAAAAGTGTTACCCAAAAGAATACGCCGGCCTGATTACCGACCTGGGCCTTTGGGACTAACCGAAAGGCTCTTCCCTGAATTTGTACCACCGACAGAAAAGAAAGCGGGCCCTTGTAGAAATTACGCCGTTTCTTGCAGTAAAAAAGATGAGAGGGGTAAAAAGATAAGGAAAGAAACAAGATACTATTGCAGGAAATGTAATGTTGGACTTTGTGCAGTACCATGCTTCATTGGTATATCATACCACACTGAATTTTTAGTCATTCTTATGCTTGCAAGTATGACAATTTGATTTTAATAATTTGAAATTCAAAGTAAACATGTAATCAAATCGTTTGTATAATACATATATTTATTCAATATCTTTTTATCTATTTTTAATATCTTGTTTTACGGGATAAATACCTAATTAAAACGTAAAGTATGTATGCATTATGCACGTATGTAACAAATTATTTTTTGAAATTATAAGTTACTGCTCTTTCCACAAAAAATCACCAAACTACAATAAGGTGGTTGCGCTTCTACGTATGTAAACATTAATAAAAAAAAATCGGACTTTATAAATGTTAAGATACACACACATATATATATGTATATTGTAATACAAACTCAAAAATCCAATTTGGTAACTGTTTATATCAAACTTTACGGCTCGTACAATAGTACGTTATTTTCTGTTTGCGGCATAATGCACATTTCCTCATCTTTCTCATTACACTTTTCTCTTGCGGCACACTTGTTGAGAAACTCTAGTTTATAATAATGTAGTGCATTGAATAAAAATCTATTTTCCCCAGAACGCCTCCATAACAGTAATCTGTCAAAGATTTTGGCACGAACCGACAAGTTAGCGGCAGTTCGAAAACACAGAAACTTTCATAAGGAATGCTCGCCATAAAGGCTTTCGCATCTTTATGAAAGTTACTTTTTAGGAGTTAAAGCTGATATTCAGAAAGTGTGGAAGCTTTTATACTGGAGCATCTTTATGAAGGTTTCTGTCTTTTCGAATGCTGGCCGTCTCACAAAAGACGCCGGCACCTTTGACGGCCAGTATTATAAAGTGAACCTTTTTGTCTAATCATCAAATTCAAGATAAAGTTACCTGTTTGCAAAAGATGTAGCTAATGCACTTGCACACACTAAAGCACTTGAACTTGACAAACCAGATGAAGGTGGTATTATTCCTTTAACAACAACATCCAAACCTTTGAAAGGTATGTCGTATTTCTCTGCGATGCCTCTGAACCCACAAATGAAGTAATGATACCAACGAGGAGAAGATGTATCGATATTTAAATCCTTAACTGAAGAAGAAAATTTTTCATATTTATCACCATGGAAATTAATAAGATTTAAAATATCACCATAATTTATTCCAACAGCCAACACAATATCTTGATCTATCGCCATAGGCAGGACAGAAAATCCACAGTAATCAATATGTTCACCGATCAAGTTCACTCTACCTGGCACTCTGGCAAAAAATTGCGGCGAGCTACCAAAACATGACGTAAAATACTTCGCTATTTCATGATATTTAGTTTCGTTATTAGCTTTATGTACTGGAAGAACAGGAACACAATCCATGTTGCATTAACCTGGAAAAAAAAAAGGCCTATATTAGTAAAAATGCATTTAACAATCCGAACGTCACATTCAGAAATTATCTTAAGAGAAAAAAAAAAAAAAAAAAAAGACATGCAATCAGCATATCATTTATATTTGAAAACATTCACTATAATATAGTACAGTCATGCCTTGATAACGAACGCAATGCGTTCCAGGCGGCATCCCCTGAATCTGAGTCTAGGGTGTGCTGTTTCAGGACGGCGTTGCCTAGGAATTACCCAGACACTATCCAATAATAAAGCTTTAAACGTAAAAATTACAATGCAAACTTTAATACTATAAATTTCCCATCCACAAAGCGTTATCACACTTACCTCCTTCCCTGCATCTGAATAGCATTACATTTCCGTTAAGTCTTATCTTTCTTATGTCAATTCCAATAATTGCTAATGTACACTACGCTAATTATCAGCCTTTACAAATTTTTAAAGCTGATCAGAGTTAAAAATAGTATGTTATATAAGAATTTACGTGAACACTTGATTTTTGAACCAAAATATGCTTAAAACTACCAAAAGATTATTAATCGAAGAGACTACTAAAATTTTAAAATATAATGTGCATACTTTCTAATTTCTTCTCGACCATATCATAAAAATCTAATTCTTTTTCCTTTATTTTGCTCAGTTTAAATTTCTGCTACACATAGAATCCCGTTCCTGTTTCATTTAAATTTAGAAAACGGCTGCTCTGTCCTTACCAGCGGAAAATTGTTTCACAGAATACGCATGAGGATTAGCCGTCCAAGGGTAGAAATACTTTTTTTTTTAGGATGCCTTCGTGGAGGACTTTCTAAGGGAAACTGGTTCATATATATGTTACACTGAAGGTATATTTATTTGGTATATTTAATTATGGCAAAGCACACTAGGGCTATCTGCCTAAGGGGAGGGATGCCTTCGTGGAGAACTTTCTAAGGGGAACTGGCTCGTATACACGTTACACATGGGGAAAACCACGAAAACACCCATGCAGCCAGCCCGTTCGCGGGATTCGAACCTCGGACCCAACTACCAGTGTTCGGCGACTTTACCGCTCGTTACACTGAAGAAAAAGTACGATAACGCCCATGCCGTTCGCGGAATTCAAACCTCGGACCGAGCTAATAGTGTTTAGCGACTTTACCGCTCGGCCGCTGGTGGGACTAATTTACCTTCACGGAGGACTTTCTAAGCGAAATTGATCCGTATTTATATTACACAGAAGAAAATTTTAAAAAATACCTGCAGCCGGTCGTTGTATCGTTTTATATGCACAAAAACAAAAAATAACCAAAAACACAATAACCTACTACACACTATATAAAGGCCATTCCTTATCTGAAGACTAACGGAGATTGATATTTTCCTTATTTGTGTTGTTTTTAACTTGCCTTTTTTACTTTATTGTTTAGTGTTTCATAAATGTTTTAAGTTATATTCTTTAACATGTTTTGCACTTTTTTACATTGCACTTTGCATGGGGATCTAAGCCAGAGGGATAAATGTCTGTAATCCATGGAGGTAGGAAGTGAGATTGACTGGCCCTAAACAGGTTTCTCCCGTACCCTGCTCTGAAGCACTGGCGATCCCTACGTGGCGACCAAAGCATTGGGTCATTTACCATTAAGTTCAATGGGTTTTGACGCGATCGGATGTAAATATTTTGTAATTACGTCGTAAATATACATATAAATGTACATTTTTTTTTCCACAACACTTCAGAGTCCTAAGTATATGAAAACAACATATTTTTAATAAACATTTCATTCTGAACGGAATTAAATGCTATACTTTTCGCAAAACACTTTTCTCAAAATGGTTTAATTTGAATGAAATATTTTCACAAGTTTTCGCTAATTACATTAGAAAAAAAAAATTTAAGGTAATTCGATTAAGGTACAAAAATTAAGATCAAAGTTTATTGTATTATTAATATTAAAATTTTGCTTTATTTCTTTTCTATTTATAGAGCTTCTTCCTAAAATACTTTCTTAAATATGACATGATTTTTTGGCTTCTGAGGCATCTTCTGAGGCTAAATCGAAAAATATAAGTCAATTTATAATTAATGCTCTATTTCGGTTCATTTTAAATTAGAGAATTATTAGAAATTAGCGAAATACCTTAAATAGTACTTAACTTTCTCTGAACATTTCTGAAAGGGAATAAAATAAGGATTTTTTTAAGTATTATTTAAAACTTGTAACTGAGTTATTATAAAATGTAAGGGGAATAATTCTTTTAATTATATTTATCAGATTTTTTTTACCATTAATTTCAACAATACATATTCAAAACTATTGCTTTCTTAAGTGCGCATCTCATAGCATTTGCTTTTACAATGCCTTTTAACAGATTGCTTTCCAGTACGAACAATTCTTGCTTAAATAGTTTTATAACGTATTTTGTCAACAGGATTTCAATTTATGTTTAGAATTCAATACTAAGGTTATTATATATTTATATAACATTTATAATCGTTATAAATTAGATACATTTAATAATTAGATTTCTTCACAGTTGTTTATAAATGAATAAATTCTTCATTTCAAATACATTTATAAGTAATTTAATGAATATTTATGTATTTTGTTAAAGGCAGATACATGCTTTTTGCAAGTACATGCATAAATACCCATACATATTTCATATTTTTCATTTCCGGCATGTGCAAATCTTTAATTTCTGTGCATTCACTATATTTTATTTTTAATTAACCCAAATAAGTAAAACGTGTAAGCCCAAAGGGATTATTTTTCAGATATATAAAATTAAAATGATGAGTTTAAAATGAGCAGCAGTAAAGCCTCTACTCTGAAAAAATTTAAAAGGTACATGTTACAATAATAAATGGATGTAAAAAAATTTATTTTATTTAAAACATTTTTGGCGTCTGGAGCATAAAAGTAGCGAAATACTCTATCAAGGGTATCGAAAGGTATACAATTTTAAAGGTACCGTAAGGTATTTTTCATTCTTTAAGCATAAACATTTTGTTAAAAATATATTTTTGTAGTTCAACAGCTTAGAATTTTATAAAACAAATTCATAATCAAAATCGCTGTAGTTAGTTATCGAAAAATAACCAAGATGTGATTTTCGCGTAAATGTCACTAAACTATACAAATTGCTATTATCCATCACACTATGAATGTTTCTTTCATGCGAAAGTGTCCCTTTTTCGATTTTTATGGAACTGTCGTATGTCGAAATACTATCAGAACACTGTCAAGCGAGCTTCTGAATGTAAACAAAGAATACCCCATCTGGTGACCGAAAGTAGATAAAAAGTGGGGGTTCTGCGACACGGGGTGTGAGGTGTGGGCGTGGTCAATGACGTCACACAGAAGGCGGGGGCAAAGGCAACGTCATCACAATAGGAGGCGTGGTCACGAGTGGAGTTGAGGTGTTGGTAGATTGCTGATTGAGTTATAGACCTCCTGCTTTTCATTTAAAGTTAGTTTTTTTTAAATTGGCAACGGGGTCATGGCATCCTCTAGGGATGAAAAATGAAAATAATCTATTTAGGAATTTCTCATGGCGTCCTCTAGGGACGAAAAAAGAAAATAATTTATTTTAGAAATTTCTTTTTAAAAAAAAATGTTCTATTATTCAAAATATAGAATTGAACTCTCAAACTAAATATCTCACCAGCTCAGTAGTTTGAAGATTTTAACCACTAAGCTGATGTGATACATTCAGATTCAGGTAAAAAAGCCTATATAAGAAAATGGAATCTGAATCGCCTCATCAATTTATTCTGATACTTTTATCCTTTCTAGTTTTCCATGAAACTTTAACTTATTTCTCAGGTTTTCTGTTTCATAATAACATACTCATTTACTGTCATATTTTTTTAATACTTAACGTTTCTAATTTGTACTATTTTATTTAATTTCCACATACTATTTTTTTTTTCATACCTTTCATAAATTTCAGAATACCCTGATTTTTAACTTATACGTTATATTTCACAAACGTTCCCGCACGTGCTGTTTACTTGTTACATTACTTAATTTTAGATGCAATTTCACACTTTTTTTAACGTTATAATGTTCAATATTTTCTGAATTTTAACTTCATTTACTTTTTTTAAACCATTCTAGTATTCCATACACACTTTAACTTAGTGGTTTGAAATTCTATTTAAAAAGAAACGTTTATTTTTCGTGATCTTAGTTCTTTTACTAAATTGTCTACAGAATTTCTAATTTCTTTCACATGTTTAACAATATCTTTCCTTACATTACCGAATATTTTTTTAAAAAATTTAAGTCTATAACTGTTAATTGCTTTTTTTTACGTTCATGATTTCCCTTCTGTAGTTTATATTTCATTAATTCTAGTTAACTTATTTATTATACTTATATAATGTTTTTATTTCTGTCTCATAACTCGTAATTCCAACATTTTATCCAATTTTAGTCTCATTTTAACGAATATGGATTGTTTTCATTTACTCCATATTCAACCATTTCCTTACAAATTTTTAAAATACTTGTTTTATTTCTCCGATCATAATTGATCATCTACAGGTTTTTTACTTCAGAAATTTCCATTCACAACTTTACAGTTTAATACCATTTATATCTAAATGCATTTCTTTCTCATATAGTTTTATGGTCTTCAAAGTTTCTAACATCATGTTTAGTTTTAAATCCCGATTACCTTTAAGTGTGTTGATAATTTTCATTTCTAATTTTACAACCACGTTCAGTGTTTCATCCACACATACCAAAATATTTCTTACATTTTCTGATATTTAGTCTATGTCATATTTCAGTACTTCAAATGAATTTACACTGCTCACACTATTATTTTTTCATGTTTTTAGAGACACTGACTATACTAATTTTACTATTTTTTTCCTGCACTAATTGCACCTATGTCAGCACTCATGATAAACTAGCAATTGTTTTGCATCACATGCATAAAGAAATTCTTAAAACCAACTTTTTCAATATCGTACTCAAATTACTGTT